CCCATAGTATAGATTGGGGTAGATTCTACCAGTGCATCCCTAGGCTCCTAGCCTGTCTCTGGAACAGTTCTGGAAGTGTTTCCATGCAGAGACTCTTTTCAGACCTGTTCCTTTTGGTTGGGAAAGTGTAAGGACTGGTGGCTTGTTCCTCTGCTTCTCAAATGAGAAATGTGGGTCCTCTTCCTGGGGGCATCGGCTTTGTCAGATATTTGTGAAAGACATGCATTTTGTTGATGGATGGAGTAGAGCACAAGGTCTAGGAGAAAGACAGTTCCTACAGAATACAGCATTAAGAGCATTTAGGGGGCCGGAGAGATGGCTCAGTGGTTAAGAGTACTGGCTGTTCTTAAAGACAACCCAGGTTTGATTCCCAGCACCCACATGGTGGCTAACAACCGTTCATAATTCCAGTTCCAGGGGAATCCAACACCCTCTTCTGACCTCTGAGGGCATTACACAACACGGGTGCACTTACATACATGCAAGCAACATGCTTACACATATAAAATAAAAATAAAATATTTTTTAAAAAACAGCATTTAGGCCAGGCATGGTGGCACATGCCTTTAATCCCAGCACTGGGGAGGCAGAGGCTGGTGGATCTCTATGAGTTCAAGGCCAGCCTGGTCTACATAGTTCCAGGAGACCCTGATTTTTGAGACCCTGTCTAAAAAAAAAAAAAAAAAACTAAAACAAGCATTTAGGTTCTGCTGCCCAATCCCCAGGGAGCATACCCAGCCCCAGCCCTGAACTGACGCCAGCAAATGTCAGCCTTCTGGTTCCCCATTGCAAAAGTGTAGAGATGAGACAATCCTTTGCTGTGTCTTGAGCTCTGCCATTTCTCCAACACTGAAACTTACTTTTCAAAGGAGAAGGTGGAGCAGGGGAGAGCAGTCAGCCAGGTCAAGTGTGTTGGGTCCTTTCCTGGATGGGTGGAAAATCATCTTAATCCCACAAATGGAGGATTTGGCAAGAGTGTTTCATCATCCACTTTCAGAGGCTTAAGTCCGGGATCACAGTGTCACCAGGTTGGTTCCTTCCGAGGCTGGTGGAGAAGGATCTGTTCCAGACCTCTCCTTGGTCAGCTTCCCGATGGCCATTTTCTCCCTCTTTTCACATCATCTTCCCACCGTGCAAATTTCCTTTCAGGGGCCAGCAAGATGGCTCAGCAGGTAAAGGTACCTGCTGCCAAGCCTGAGGCCCTGAGTTCTCTGGGGCCTGCATGGTGAAAGGAGAGAACAAGTGCACCATGGTGCACACACGCACACACACACACACACACACACACACAAATTTCTGGGACTGGAGAGATGGCTAATGGTTAAGAGCACATAGTGTGAAAGGGTGCTGGGATGGGGGTGACCTGAGCCAGAGGTTACCAAGGGAACCAAGGTAACATGGATGGGGATACAGGCTGCACTGGAGGTGCTGTTCTATTGCCCATCATTCCCAGCCTGTCGTTGGAGATCAGTTTCTTGCTGATGTGCTGATACTTCCCACGCACATTCGTCAGCTGGCAAGCCCCAGGCCAGATTCCAGGATTTTCAAGAAAAGGGAAGATTATGAGAGCAAGCTCCCACCTGCATGACTTAGTTATTTGTCATTGACTCATTGGGAAATAGCCATGACTTGCATGGTGCACACTAAAGCACTCAGCAATCCTGATGCCCACTCCACCCCTCCCCAGCTTGCCTTTTTTGGCATCCTTCTCTGTGCTTAATATGGGTAACTCTGGGCTTCCTGCGCAAGTGAGTCACCCATCCAGTTGATGTTCTGCACCTGCTAACTCCAAAGAGCTTGCTCTTTGGAATGTAAGACGTGGCGGAGGAGGTCGTGACAATCGCTCATCATAGTCCCCAGTGCAACTAGGTCGGCTTGCTCAGAGATGGCTGGCCCCTCCAAAGTCTGTCACCTTTGGTGTAAACCTTTAAGCATGTAGGCTTTTCTTTCTTTTTTTTTTAATTTCTGTGTGTTTACACAAATATTCCATAGTGTGTATGTGCAAATCAGAGGACAGCTTGTGGGAATCTGTCATCTCCCACAGTGAGGGTCCTGGGGGCTTGAACTCAGTCAGCTCAGATCATTAAGTTTGGCAGCAGGTGCCTTTACCTACTGAGCCATCTTGCCAGCCCCTGTTTTTTCCTCTTTCTTTTTTCAGTGCTAGAAATTAAACTCAGATTCTTTTTTTATGTTTATTATTTTTATTTTATGGGTATGTGAGTGTATTGCCTGCACTATGTGAGTGCACCTGTGTCTTGCAATGCCTTGAAAGTCAGAAGAGGGCGTCAGATTCCTCTGGAACTAGCGTTAAGAACAGTTCATAGCCACCATGTGGGTGCTGGGAATTGAACCTTGATCCTCTGCAAGAGCAGTCAGTGCTCTTAACCGCTAAGCCATCTTTCTAGTCCCTAAACTCAGATTCTTATATATGTTTAGCAAATGCTCTACCAGAATTTTTTTCTTGCTATTTGTTTTTGTTTTTATTATGAAGGTGAAACTCAATTGCCCAGGCTGACCTTGAACTCACTATGAGTTCAGGCAGGCTTTAAACTTGTATCCTGTTGCTTCAACTAAGATTATAGGTTCACATTGCCTGGCTTCTAACATACCTTTAATATGGCAACATGCAGGATAAAAGCTTGGAGTTTCTGCAGTTGGATGAAGTGAATTTGGTAGTCTAGGGGAATAGTTCAGAGAAGTAGTTAAATGCTGCCACAGGCCAAGTATGAGGGCTGGAGAGATGGCTCAGGGCTTCAGAGAACTGGCTGTTCTGCAGAGGACCCAGGTTCAGTTCCCAGCACCCACACTAGGGGGTGGCTCACCACTGTCTAACTCTAGCTCGAGGGAATATGATGCCTTCTGTCTGGCCTTTGAGGACACCTGCAATAGTTCAGAGAAGTAGTTAAATGCTGCCACAGGCCAAGTATGAGGGCTGGAGAGATGGCTCAGGGCTTCAGAGAACTGGCTGTTCTGCAGAGGACCCAGGTTCAGTTCCCAGCACCCACACTAGGGGGTGGCTCACCACTGTCTAACTCTAGCTCGAGGGAATATGATGCCTTCTGTCTGGCCTTTGAGGACACCTGCATGCATGTGCACACACACACACACACACACACACACACACACACACACACATAATTAAAAATAAAGCTTTAAGCCGGGAGTAGTGGCGCATGCCTTTAATCCCAGCACCTGGGAGGCAGAGGCAGGTGGATCTCTGTGAGTTCAAGGCCAGCCTGGTCTACATAGTGAATTCCAGGACAGCTGGGGCTAAAGGGAGACCCTGTCTCAAAAAGACCAAAAATAAAAATAAATAAATAAATAAATAAATAAATAAATAAATAAATAAAGCTTTAAAAATGGGCCACGGGGCTGAAGAGATGGCTCAGTGGTTAAGAACACCCTGTTGTTCTTCCAGAGGACAGGGGTTAGAGTCCCAGCACCCACATGATGGCTAACAACTGTCCATAACTCCAGTTCCAGCGGATCTGACACCCTCTTCTAGTCTCTGTGGGGGATTGCATGCACGTGGTGTATTTACATACATGTAGACGAAACACTCATACACTAAAATAAAATTTAAAAATTTTTTTAACGGGCCATGGATCTAGGAATTAGTGAATCCACTATTGAAATTTTGTGTATTTGGGGATTTGGAGAGTTTCTTAATAATTTTTAAAAAATTTATTCTTATTTTATGTGTATCAGTGTTTTGTCTGCACGTATATAGGTGCACCACATGTGTGTAATGCCCACAGAGGGCAGAAAAAGTTTGCCCCTTCTTGGTTGTGGGCTGGAGACTGTCCACTACTACATCCCAGAGTACTTGGCACATCGAAGTCGGTGAGCACTTGCTGCTTCATCATAAACAGAATCAAGAACAAAAGTGAAGCCCAGCCAGGCGTGGTGGCAGATGCCTTTAATCCCAGCACTCGGGAAGCAGAGGCAGGCAGATTTCTGTGAGTTCAGGCCAGCCTGGTCTACATAGATTCAGGCCAGCTGGGGCTACAGGGAGACCCTGTCTCAAAAAGACCCCCCCCCCCCAAAACAAGTGAAGCCCAGTATCACCTGGCTTTACTAAGCCTTCATGGCTCAGTACTGGGCCAAGCCCTTTGCCCCTGTCAATGCCTTCCAATCCACCAGGCTGAGTCAACAGTCTTGTGCAGAGAGGCCCTGGAGGATTAAGGCCTAGGTGTTTCCCAAGATCCCACTTTCAGGGAGAGGAAGTAGGAGGATGTGGGTTAGGCGTCTAGCAATCACATCTCACAGCCACCCCTGGAAAGGAGCCAGGAAGACTTGCCCCCTGGGAACTCTCCTGAGGCAGGGGATTCGGGCTGTTCCATTCCACCCTGGACTGAGCCCTCGAGTCCCAGATTTCTGTGGTGTGGGGAAATGGGCAGTTTCTGGTGCTTTCTCCCTGCGGGGTTTCAGGTTTAATACACCCCACCTCCCCAAGCTCGCCTGGCTCGGATTTGCTATTTATTTGGGCCAACAACAACGCTCCGAGCCGGATGGGATCAGAAGTGCGCTCTCGCTAAGTGCTGTGCCGGCCCTGGCTAAATTCATTCGCCATTTTTCCCAGTCTAAGTGGATTTCTCTGTGGTCGGAAGGACAGGGTCACTGCTTGGTGCTGGGCCCCCAGCTGAGCAGCTCCGTTAACCCTCCTGAGACCGTCCCCGGGAAGAGGATGCATGCCATCTGCGGAGGGGGCGAGGTGGACTGAGCGCCTACTAAGTGGAGCTGGGTCGGACAGTGAGGACGGAGACCCCCGGTGTTCCGGGTAGCAAGCTAGTGACCAGGGCTGGGAGGTGCCTGCAGGTCAGGAGGAGCGTGAGGGACCAGCGTGTTTCTGGACTGGAGTCCCCAGAACTCCCAAGACGCGCCCCCGGCAGGCGAGGACAGACCCTCGGCCCTTTAAGGCGGAGCCCTGGAGTGGGCTGTACCAGGCTCCCTTGCGGCTTCTGATTCGGCGGCGCGGCGGATGCGGCGGGTGCGGCCGCCAGGTGATGTGGTGGGTAGGTTCCCGCGGCCACGTGGGGCGCGCGGCGCGGGGGCGGCGCTGGGGAGTCGCCCGGGCTGCGGGTACTGGGGCTTCTGAGACCTGGGGCTGCGAGGACCAGCCACCACCTGGGTGAGTGAGCTTGCGGAGACCCCGGGGTTCGGGTCGGGGCCGGGAGGGTCTCCAAGAACAAGCAGCGCCCGCTGGCGGCGGCTGCCATCACCCCAGCCCTGGTCTCCGTCCCTCCCCACCTGGCGCCGGGACCCCTGTCTACCCCCGACTCCCCAGAGCCTGGCGCAGCGTGGAGACGGCGATGCTGGCTCCTCACCTCCGCGTGCCACCGTGTCCGTGTCATCCCCATCCAGCCCGGGTGCTCTGAGCGCCCAGACTCTTGTCCCCCTGACGCATGGCGGCCGACTGGGGAAGGTTCTCGGGAGGACCAGAGACCGATGGACAGCCCCAGGAGGTAGCTGCCTTCATGGTCCCCTTGACAGCTGGAGCTGGAGGCTGCCGGGCCAAGGGATGGCGACCAAGGTCACATCCACCCACCCTGCTGGACCCTACCACACTCCCGTTCCTGGCTGCGCTGGTCCAGGGCCGGTAGAGGTGGTACCAGGAGTGTGTTGGGCTTCGGAGCCCCAGAGAGAGTCCCTCCTTGCTGATCAGTTCTGTCCCAGCACTTGAGTTGTTACGAGGTTCCCAGTGACTGCTCCTTCCTCACCACTTCCTGGACAGACCCAGACCCAGCAAACACCAAAGGTGGTCGCCTGCTGGGGGCCGGAGGCGGTCAAACTGAAGGGCATTGCCATATCTAGTCAGAATCCTGGGTTTGCTCTCACAGCTCCCCCTCCTGTGTTGTGTGGCTTCAGGCAAGCACCCGTTGGTGAGCTCAGGGTCTGCAGGGTAGTTTCCCAGAACCTTGAGGGGATGGACAGTTCATCACTGTGGCAAAGGGCCCTGTGTCTGGCCAGGACCACCCAAAAAACAGAAGCCCAGTACCATCCCAATGTGTCCCTCAGTAGGAAGGTGCTGGCCCAGCAGACTCCTTTGGTAAAATTTTGCTTTGGTCCAAAAAAGTTAACTCACTGTGTGGGTCTGTATCCCTGGTTCCCGTAAGCTTGACACTCTCCTTCGTTCCCTGGGAGCCCCTCAACTTCAACTTTGAGGCAGGATCAGACTGGAAGAGAAGCTGGAGAAGGGAGAAAGCTCCTCTTTTTTTTTTTTTTTTTTTTTTTTAAAGGAGAAAGCTCCTCTTTTTTTTTTTTTTTTTTAATTTAATGCACATGAGTGTATTGGCTGCATGTGTGTAAGTGCACCTGTCTCATGCAGTGCCCTCGGAGGTCAGAAGAGGGTGGCGGATTCTCTGGAACTGGAGTTAAAGATGGTTGGTTGTTGCCATGTGGATGTTGGCCCTTTGCACAAGCAGATATTGCTCTTAACCATTGAGCCATCTCTCCAGTCCCAGAGGTTCCTCTTTCAAGGGCGGGGGTACAGATCAAGGGATGGGGAAGGACCTGGTGCAGGACAGTGGGGTCCCAGCCTGCCAAAGCTGTGCTTCTTCTGGGGGATGGAGGCTGTCTCTCTGTGTGTAAGAGCCCTCCTGGGGTGTGCGGATCCTCATGCTGATTCCCTCCTTCTCTGTGCAGCCCTGGCAGCGCGTGAAAGACTCCTTCCTGCTCTCTTTATCTTTTTTTCAGATCCTTTCTTCTCAGTTCCTCCTCTTGTCTTTCCGCCCTCCTTCCTGCCCTGTCTCCCTGCCTCACCTCGCCTCCCCACTCCTGGTCTTTGGCTTCTGGCTTTCCAGCTCCCCTTTGTGATTAGAAAGTGAATAGGCACTCCCAGCCCCAAGGGTCTCCCTACTGGGAAGGGTCTGCTTGTAGTTGGAATGCTGTTGCTTAGTGTAAATATCAGGTGTGGTTGGAAAGAGAGTCAGAATGCTGGGAGGGAGGCTGCAGGGCCTCGGAGATCTAGAAGGCTTTGGAGCTTCTGTTCCTCAGCTCTTCCTGGCTGGCCACTCCTTGAAAGTTGTAGATGGCTGCTGACCTTTACACCCTGCCCTGAGCCTAGGTTTGATGGTCACTAGCAGGCAAAGGCAGGGACCCTTCCTCAGCCCTTAGCCCTAAGAGCATCAATTCCAAGGCATCCAAGCCCTCCCTTTGTAGGCACAACTGAGTCAGGGCACACCCGGGCCACACTGCTAATCCCTTGTCTCTCCTGGCCTTTCTTACCTGACTTTCACAGTTGGTGGGGGGTTCAGACAAGGAGGGGGTCTGAAGATGGCTAGACCCTGCTGTCTTCCCAAGCTTCCTTCCCAGCAGCAGGCTTGCCCCCCCCCGACCCATCTCACATCAGGCTGGCATTTTCCTTGGCACCTCACATTATCCAAGGTTTGCTAGTGAGGAAGTGGACACACAGAGAGGTGAGGCAGTTGGCCCAAAGCCACACAAGACTTGTACCCAGACCTCTCTGACCCAAGCCAGAGATTATAAGTAGGCAGGGATGGGGGAGGTATATTAAGTTGGCTGTGGGGGAGCTGAGTTGGCAGGGACCCTAATAGAGGGCGTTATCAGTTCTCTGCAGTCACTGGTCCACTGGTGCCCTGTTCCATATTAATTGAGTCCCAACCGGGGACTTGGGCTTTCATGGGGAATGAATGCTCTCCCTGCCCTAGAGGGCACATGACTCCTGCCTTCCCTACCCCCACCGAGCAAGGGTTCTCAGAAAGACCAGATCAGGAAGGAGTACCACATTTCAGCCTCCTGGATAGTTGTCCATTTTCTCCACATCCAATAATTTAGCATCAGTGCATCCCCTGGGTGAGTGCTGGTGTCATAGCCTGCAAGGGGCTTTGGGATCAGGAAGGGGTTGGGGTCTAGCTGGGCAAAGGAGCCACAGCCTGTGAGATAGGTTGTTGACATCATCATTTGCTTCAGCCTCCTGAGTAAGTCGAGAACTACAGCCATGCACCCAGTTCCCTCCTGGCACTAAATACAGGCTGGTTACACGTCTGCACCCCACCACCCCCAGCTTCCACCTCCAAGAGGGGCCAGCACCAGCTCAGTGACCCAAGCGATGAACTCGTCCCATCAAACCTCCCCTCAGTGCAGCTTTCCAGCTACCTCCCCTCTAGCGTCACCTGCCCCACCTCTCCTTTCCTCTGTCTCCTCTGTTCATTCATATTCTTTAGTTGCTGTCTTGCTCCTGCACGGATGCTGGCTCCCTGAAGCAGGCAGTTTGTTTTTTGTCTGAACTATGTCTTCACTGTCCAGGATATTGATGAGCACATAGCAGATGCTCAGTGAGGATTTGTTGAATAAGTGAACAGTGAGAGCAGATAAATGAATGAACACACCGGCCTAACAAGGAGCCCTCAGCCTCTCCGCCTGAAAACCCAACCTCTCCCTGCCCTTCACAGCCTTCTCTTCGTGATGCTTGAAGCTGGGCACGCTGGGGGCCATGCAGAGAGCTGGGGCTGGGGCCCGCAGGGCCTCTGACTGTGGGCCTGTCCTTTACCGGCCCAGGTGCATCACCAAGTTTGCCCAGGTGGGTGGGTGCCTGCCTTGTGTCCTCTGGAAGGTGGTCACGGGGTGGCAGGCCCTGGATTTGGGGAGGAATTGGGGGTGGGGGGTCAATGACCAAACTCCTTTGGAGTATATGTGTGTACTGCACGTGTTTGTGCGTCGGCAAGAGATGAGGCCAGTGTGACCTGCCTAGGGTCACCTGCTGGGATCACTGGCAGAGAACCCAGCCTCCAAGGACAGTGCTTGGTCACTGCCCTCAGCTGGCCGTCAGGGTGAAATATGTGTATGGATTGGGGCTGTAGGCCTTACTGTCCCCATCTTGCTCTCTTCCACCACCACCAGTGTGTGGGCTCCTTCCCCGTGGATGACCTGGACACACAGGAGAGCGTATGCCTTGTGCAGCAGCAGCTGTGGGTACTGAAGGTAAGGGGCTTGGAAAACACATCCCTGGGGTGGGCACCGAGGATGTTAGGCTGGGATGGAACCATGAGACCAGTGCCCACCCTGTGTATAGATGGGCACATGAAACCCAGGGAGGGAGGGAGGGACTGAAGGTACTCTGAGAGGTGGACCAGTGAGCAATAGGCAGCTAGAGCCCTCAGGGATGCTTAGGGGCCCATGCCCCATAGATGGTCATAGCTCAGCTGTTGGGGGTCAGCTGACCAGCCTTGATGAATGACATTGAGGCAAGACTTTGTAGGGTGGGCCTAGGAGATGACATCTGTTTTTGCCAACTCTCTTCCCTTCAGGACTGTTCCCGACGCCGGGCTGTCATCCTGAAATTCAGTCTTCAGGGTCTCAAGATCTACAGTGGGGAGGGCGAGGTAGGAGGGGCCTCAAGGATCAGACTGGGTGCAGTCTGCTTACAGTTTACCCCATGGGCCCCTGGCACAAGCTCAGGCAACAATTCCTCACCTGGCCTTCCAGAATCTTCTCTAGAGGGCCGAGCAGCAGGGACATCCACTCCATGAGACTTTGTAGGAGTTCTGCCCAGCTGTGGACAGCCTCAGACTAGAGACGGTATCTAGCTCTTGTGTGCATGCCTGTCCCTCCCCAGCTGCCCACTGTATAGTCAACTTGGCTGCCCACTGACTGCAGGCCAGATCGCATACCCAACAGCTACAGGCCTTGTTGCTCTCAACTCTGTCAGGGAGAACCTAGTGTTTCCCGGCCACATGCACACATGTAAGTAAGAGACACTTTGGACTGTTCTCACATGGAGAATGAGTGGCAGAGCCAGGATTTGAACTCAGTCATCCCACTCTAGAGACCAGGACTTGCTGCCACTGCCTCTCTGTGACCCCAACAAGCAGTCATTGTTGCCTCTCAGTTCAATAACTCAGGGGGAAGGGAGGAACCGTCTCAGTCCTCAGGTCTACAGCAGGGTCGTAGCAAAGAGGGTTGGGAATGGACAGGCCTGGAGGGAGGAGAGGGAGACTTTGTCCCAGGAGCTAGGTTCCCTGTACCAGGTGTGTGGGACCCTCAGGCCCCAACCATCCAGGTGAGGGTCTGAAGCCTGCTGTCACCACAATGCCTCACAGGTGCTCCTGATGGCCCATGCCCTGAGGCGCATCCTCTATGCTACTTGGTGCCCAGACGCCTGCCAGTTTGCCTTCGTTGCTCGGAACCCACGCAGTCCGGCCAGCAAGCTCTTCTGCCACCTCTTTGTGGGCAGCCAGCCTGGAGAGGTACCCAAGACCCAGGGCGGGGGGCCCTGGGCTAGAAGGCCTTGGTTGGCATCAGGACTAGTTGCAGGGATGAATCCATACATTACCACACTAGCTTCTTGGCTCTGCCCTCCTAGAAGCCTGTAGAGCATGCCAGCAGCCTTGGCCTTACCTGAGAGAAAGAACTGCCCTCTCTCCTGGCTTGTTTTCCAGGAATTTTTGGGAGGGGCATGTGATGCCAGATATTTTCTGTGCTGTGGAGTCCCTGCCCTCCCTCATCCTAGCTAGTTCCCACCACCCTTCGAGGCCCAGCCCATCTGTGACAGCAACCACACTCTAGCATTAGGCTGTCCCTAATGGCAGATATCTGAGTCCTTTGGCACCAGAGGTAGGGTCTGGGCCCAGTGTAATGGGTGGTGTGAGCCACAGGCAGGTGAACTAGACGTCAAAGTTGTTGTGAGTGACAGATCTGTGGCAGGCAGTCATTTGGCAAGCAGAGCCTGGGTTCCAGAATTTGTTGTCACCTCTGGATGTGGATACTGGAGTGACAGGTGGCTGAACTTCACAGTTCCAAAATTCCGGGTCTGGATGGTGTGAGTGATGGGTTCTGTGTTCTGTCCCCAGACAAGTGCTGGGAGTTTTCTGTGCCCCACTTCATTAGCTTCTTAGAAGATTGGGGGTAGGGGGAGAACTGAGGCACACAGAGGCTCAGGATCACCCAGCAGTTCCTAAGTAATGGCAAGGATTCAATTGCATGTTCCAGAGCCTGGGCTCTTAGCCATTCTCCTAGAGAAGCTGAGGCCCTGACTATTGGGACGGTGGTGAGCCTGGGCTGGGGCCTGAGGAACTCCGGATAAGCCTGCTGCAGCTGATCCCACTCCTGCCCTAGGTCCAGATCCTGTACCTGCTGCTCTGCCGCTCCTTCCAACTTGCTTACCTCATGCAGCACCCTGAAGAGAGGGCACAGCCCGAGTCTGGCCTGGCACCCACAGGGCACCCAGAGTCCCCAAAGCCACTCTGCAGCCCAGGGGCACCCCCTGCCCTGGTACGGGAGCCCTTCAGCCGGGATCAGCTATCACAGAACGTCCATGCCCTGGTCTCCTTCCGGCGGCTGCCTGCTGAAGGGCTGCTAGGCATTAGTGGGGTACGCAGCACCCCAGCCAGGAAGTGGGCAATGGATGGGGGAGATGAGAGCTCCGGGGATACAGGGGAAGGTGGGGTGGTTCCTTGCAGGGCTCACCTGGCCCAGCTTAGATAGGTCTGAATCTGCCCATGGGTCCCCCTTGATGTCCTAGAAGGAGCTGGCAGAGCCAGAGGGCCGTGGAGGCACTCGTCATGCTCGCCTGGGGAATCCCTACTGCTCACCCACACTGGTGCGCAAGAAGGCCATTAGGAGCAAGGTGATCCGCTCTGGGGCCTACCGAGGCTGCACCTATGAGACCCAGCTGCAGCTATCAGCCCGGGAGGCCTGTGAGTTATGGGAAAGAGAGGCTGGGGGGGGTAGGGTGGGGCACCACACACTCTTGCCTGGTCCTGTGATGCTGCGGCCACACCCTTTGTTACCTACCCTCCTCCCTTGACTGTCTCTGCATGAGTGTACATCAGGTTTGGGGGCTTGTACAGATGCCTGATCAGCTGTATATGAGCTTTAACTGGTGAGTGGGGTTGCCTGTGTGTAGGGGTGTCTGTTGAGGGTCCAGATGTGTGCCTGTTGGGTTGGGAAAGACACCTGGTGGGATGACAAAGCAAGGGGGATCCGTGATAAAGAGACAGGTGTGACGTGGGAGGGTGGTCCAGGAAGGTTTCACCAAGCTCCCTCTGACCTGGGTGGTCCTCATAGTTCCTGCTGCATGGGAGGCATGGCCCAGTGGTCCTGGCGGCCCCTCGTCCCTGGTGGAGAATGAAGGTAGCTTGACTGAGAACATCTGGGCCTTTGCTGGCCTCTCCAGGTGAGGGAACCCTGACCTGGTCCAAAGCTCACTCAGTCCCTTAGGGTGGGCAGAAATATGGGAAGTCAGCCTTGACCTGGTCCAAGGCCCACTCAATCTCAGGGCGGGCAGAAAAATGGGAAGTCGGCTCCCTTGTCCTGTGTGCACAGGGTGCACAGTACAGTGCTTCCACTCTAGGTGACCTCAGGCCAGGGACTTCCTCTGCTTGAGTCTCCATTTTCCTGAATGTAAAATAAAGTTAATTCAAGAGCTGGGAAGAGGAGCTAGAGAGGAAACACAGGCAAAGTGCCTTGCCCACTACTGCCTCCCTCCCAAGGTTCCTCAGACCTCTCCTGACTGGACCTTGTGGTCAGCAAGTGACGCCCCCAGGAGGATTTAGCTCCTCTGCCTTCTTTCCACTGAGCAGCTTCACTGGGTCAGAGCAGCTCCCAAAAGCACTTACTGAATCTTCTGCCACCACCACCAAGCTCTTGGGCCTATGTCCCTGCCTAAGGCAGCAGCCTGAGGCTGGGATCAGACTGGTGGCTCCCTCCCCGTCTAGGCCCTGTGCACTGACCCTGCTGCGGAGAGATGTGCATGGGGCTTTCCTGCTGTGGCCTGAGCCGGGCACCAGTGACCAATGGAGCCTGTCTGTGCGGACCCAGTGTGGTGTGGTGCCCCACCAGGTATTCCGGAACCACCTGGGCCGCTACTGCCTGGAGGTGAGCATGTGGGGTTGCCCTGAGGGTGTCTTGCCACTGGTTCCACTTGATCTAGCTAGCTGGGTGATGACCATAGGTGGTAAGAAAGGATCAGAGAGGTGCCTGGTCATAGAGGCATCTTTTAGGGGTTACCTTTCGTTGAGCTGGCCCTAAGCTCAGTTGTGACTGGCTCTACAGTCACAGCACCCTCTACCTTTCTGAACTCTCCCTTGCTCTCAAGGAGCGGGTGCTGTGGGGAAGGGGAGTCAGGGAGGGGGCTGGTGCCTGGTATGAACCATGGAGCAGGGGACCCAAGCTGTAGACCCTTTCTCCCCAGCACCTGCCAGCAGAGTTCCCCAGCCTGGAGGCCCTGGTAGAGAGCCATGCTGGGAGGGAGCGCAGCCTCTTCTGCCCGCTCAGCATGGGCCGTCTGAACCCCACCTATGAAGAACAGGACTGTGAGCCTGAAGGCAGACCGCCCCGGACTCTGCGGCCCCTCAGCCATGCCAAATCTGAAGCCGAACTGCAGGGCTTGGGCTAGGAGGCAGGCCCTTGCTTCCCTCCAGACTCTGTCTCCCCTTGGCCCCTGGGCCTCAGTAGTTGCTCTGTCCTTGCACCCTGCTCACTGGTCACTAGCTCCCATCAGGTCAGTCTGCCCCTTGACCAGTCTTCTATCACTTCACTGCCCGTGGGAGTGGAGCCCTGAGGTTGGAGATGGCACTGGCCTCTCCCAGGACCTGGAGCCTGCTGAGATACCAGGAGGAGCAGGCGGGGCTCCAGGTGATTTCGGCCGCTCGGTCCCACTGTGCTAGTGCAGGGGCTTTCCCAAGTGGTTCACAGGTATAGGCGCAGCCCTTGCTGAAGGAGACTAAGCCTTTGCTGGACTGGGAACCTCCAGCAAGCTCCGGACAGGAAGACCGAACACTTGAGGGAATTGTAGGTTTGCCACTTGGAGTTCATTTGATCTAATCATTCCACTGAGAGGGACCAGCAGTAAGCTGCGCTACCCAGATCTGCAGACCACAGTCAGTTTGGTGACTGCTTGGGGAAGCCACCTTATATATAATACAGCACTGACCACTGTTCATGGCTGGAGGGTCACCTTTGCCAAAGGCCAGCCCCATTTGGGATGGAATTCTTGCAGAAGGGGTGTGGCTGCAGCAGAGGGAGGTCCAGGGATACATTCTAGTGAAAGGCAGTGGTCCTGCTGGTGAGTGACAAATCCAGCTGTCCTTTGTAAGTCAACTCAGCAAATGCATGAGTCCTCCTAGAGAAAATAAGCTTGTTTTTGGAAGCAGAGGTGTAGGTGCAGGTGAGAGAGAATGCCCTGCTCAATGCCTTGGAAGTCATAGATTTCTGATTTCTGTGGGAAGGAGGCGGTAGAAAGGAAGCAGACCTAGATAGAGTATGAAGGCGGACCAGGCACAGTGTTCCCAGTTTCCTGCCCACCACAAGGACTTGACCATAGCAAGGGACTTAACTGTTTCTTTCAAATGAGATGTCTTGTCATAAGGGATGGAAGGAAAAGGTTTGTGGGGCTCTTTTCACAGGAAATAGCACTGACTCTAGACTGAATATGGGCCGGAGGCTGGGACTCTTCCAAAGCCATTTGCAGTGGCAGCCACACCCTGAGTGGGGTCTGTCCCCAGTGTGAGAAGGAGAGCTAAGCATACCCTGCATCCAGAGTCCATTTCAGAGAGATGTACCTAAGGAAACCTGGTCTTTGGGCCAGAGCTCACCTCCAGGAAGGTGTGTTCACGGTGTGAATTGTCTGTGTGAATGAGATTCCAGTGTCTAGTATGCCCATGTCTTAATTACAGACCACAGTTTTGTGTTTGTTCGAACCAGCACTGCTTGGGAGCCCGGCTCTCCTGTGTGGACTTTGAGACAAATAAAACACATTTTCACAGACTAGTGCAGATGTTCGTTCCTTAAAAGAACAGATTTTCATCCATTTTCCTGTTTTGCTTTTGTTTGCTGAACAAGCCCCTGTGGATAGTGAGCCAGACAGGCCCTGGCTCCAAGGGCCCAGGAAGGCCTGAAGAAATTGGGCAGGGAGGCTTGATGGGTATCTCCTATAAGAAAAATACTTCGTGGTGGGCATGGTGGTACATACCTTTAATAATAGCATTACATAGCAGAAGTAAGTAGGTCCCTGTGAGTTCAAGGCCAACCTGTTGTATATGGCAAGTTCAAGGCCAGCCTAGTATAGAGCCAGACCCAGGCCAGCCAGGGTACATAGTGAGACCCCATCTCAAAAGAAGATTCCAGATTTCATGCTTTGTTAACTTGGGCTTGCTTTCCATTTCTAGAATGTAAACAGCTTAGACTGGTCTCCTTGTCCCCCGCCTCCACTTTTCAAACTTCTTCCGCTCTAGTCAGGCCTAGGACACTTGTCTTGACATTGACTGAGGAAGCCTTTATAGTTTGTATTAGTTAACTTTCTATAGCCGTGATAAAATGCTGACCAAATATAACTTGGGGAGGAAAGGGTTTATTTGGCTTACACATTCTGGTCACACTCCCATCACTGAGGGAAGCCAACCCAGGAACTTAAGTAGGGCAGGAACCTGGAGGCAGGAGCTGAAGCAGAGACCATGGAGGAACGCTGCTTCCTGGCTTGTTCCCGCTGGCCTATGCCCAACCTGCTTTCTTATACAGCCCAGGCCCACCTGCCCAGGGATGGCACTTGTCCATGGTGGGCTAGGCCTTCCTACATCAATTAACAATTAAGAAAAGCCTCATAAATACGGCCACAGGCCAGTCTGATGAGGGAGTTCTTCAATTGAAGTTCCCTTTTCCCAGATGACTCTAGTTTGTGTCAGATTGACAAAACTAACCAGCACAAAGATGTTCCACAGAACTGTTCACTTGTAGTGACCCTTTCATTTGTGGGATTAAGAAAATTTTAACTTCTTAATAGGTTTTGCCTACATGTATGTTAGTGCACCTGTGTCTTCAATGACAGCGGAGGCCAGAAGAAGGCGTCAAGATATCCTGGAACTGGGGTTATAGACAGTTGTGAGCCACTATGTCAGGTCTGGAACTGAACCTAGGCCCTCTCTGCAAGAGCAGCCAGTGCTCCTAAACTGCAGAGCCATCTCTCCAGCCCATTGGATTCTGTTTCATTGTTAGTTCCCCTACTAGACTGTGGCCTGCAGGAGGGCTGTCTCCCCAGCATTGCCAAGGTGCCTGACATGTGACTAACACTGTTTCTGTGCAGAGGGTCCCACAGCACAACAGCTGGGTGGTCTGGGGCTTAGGCTTGACCAGGAAGGTAGTCGGGGGGGCCTTCCCAGCAGAAAGACTAGGTCCTAAAGTTTTTGTGTCTTTTAAAATTACAATTATCTTTCAAGGCCAGTCTGGTCTACATAGTGAGTTCCAGGACAGCTGGGGCTACAGGGAGACCCTGTCTCAAAAAGACCCTCCCCCCCCAAAATTACATTTATCTGCGAGTGGGACCCCCTGTCATTTGAAGGAGTCAGGGTTCTCTTCTACCATGTGGGTCCCCCGGGGTCTTTGATACCGACTGTCTATAATACAGGCCATCAGACTTGGCAGCAAGCCATTTCCCAGGCTGTTTCTGTGTCTTTAAAAATAATCTACAGTCTCCAGACTGACTCTGGTCCCCAGCTCTTGGCATCAGGAAGCTCTGGATAAAGGACAACAAGGTCCTTGTCACTTTCTCTAACCTCTGCGGGAGGTGCAATCCAGCGTGGGCGTGGCAACCTCTGCCTCGTCGCTGAACCTCTCCAGCACCGTGCTGCCAGGACTGAAGGGGGGTTGGCGGGGACGGGACTGGAGAACAGTCTGCGCCCGCCTCCCCGAGGGCATCCTCACCCGGAGCTCAGTCAGCGGTCCCACGTTCTCCTGGAGCCGCCTTGTGACGGCACGGCGTTGCCCAGCGACGGCGAACGCCAAGACTGCTGGCACTGGAGAGAGCGCGGCCGGGCCAGCTTCGGGGCTAGGGTTGCGCGGCGGCGCCTGCAGCGCAGATCCCCGGTTACCCGCTCGGGCCGGCCTCAGGGACGGGGGAGCCCAGGCGCAGGAGGCCGCAGCGGCCCGGGCTCCAGCCCCCCGACTCGTCCGCGGTCCCCCTCAGGCTCCCGGTGCGCCCCCCGAGGAGTCCCAGCCCTCCCTCCAGCCCCGCCCCCCGCGCCCGGCTCTGGTTCTGCCCCCTGCCTAGGCCTTGTGCCGGGGCTGCGCCTCCTGGGCCGGGTTGCCATGGCCTCGGAGTCTGTGAAGGTGGTGGTGCGCTGCCGGCCCATGAACCAGCGCGAGCGGGAGCTGAACTGCCAGGCGGTGGTGACAGTGGACTGCGCCCGCGGCCAGTGCTTCATCCAGAACCCTGGCGCTGCCGACGAGCCCCCCAAGCAGTTCACCTTCGACGGCGCCTACTACATGGACCACTTCACCGAACAGATCTACAACGAGATCGCGTACCCACTGGTGGAGGTGAGGGCGCCCCGAGACTGGAGGGCCAAGCACGGGGCGCCCAGAAAGTGCCAGAGGGATGGGTGGGTGACCCAGCCCCTGCTCACAAGCCAAACCAGAAGGCCCTAGGCGCAGGTGGGCAGCAGCAGGTTGGTCTGAAGGCTCTTGTACAGGCTGGAGGCGGATGAACTTGCCCACTGTGGTGTCCCACTTCCCGGTTGAACCAAACACCCCACCTGGTCCTCACCCCCATTCCTCAAAGCCACTTTACCCCCGAACCCCAGAACCCAGGATCACTGGTTCTCTATCCTCATCCCAGACCTGCAGGGTCCTCTGTCCTCGCATCCCTCCTCCTTCTTCAGACCGCGGTGGCTTATACTTGCTCCCAATTTCACCTCCACAAACGGCTTCATAGCATTTTCTCCTTTCTTGGGAGTTGTGGGGAAAAACCTGTCTTTCTAAAGAGGGAACAGTGTGCAAGCTGCCATCTGAGGCTCTAGGCCCTGCAGCAGAGACTGACTGACATTATTTAACCTAGAATTCCCAAAACATATAACATGGATGCTTTCTATTTTGACTGGCAGGCCCTGTAACATCACCCCCTTCAGCTGCTCTGTCTCTCCTGCCTATTGAGAGAATTGATGTGTTCTGAAGCCCAGAACCTGGGCTGGCTCCAAGCCAGGAGCAGGTGCCCTGGTAGCATCTAGGGTCTCTGCCCCCACTGAACTCTGACCCTGCTCCCAAGGCTTTCTGGCTGCTGTCTTGAACCCCAGAGTACTTGACCAGAGATGGTGCACAGAGGACAAGGGGCAGCTTCTAGACTCTAGGGATAGTCCAGTTGTCCATCTGCTGGCCTGGTCTCCCAGACTGGAAGGGACCTGAGAGGTCATCTGATTCAATTCCTTGCTTCTTTGATCCCTGAATGTGCACCAAGTAAAGGACCGGCTTTGGCTTGCCCACATGGTCCAGAAGCAACCCCTTCCACCCACTCAGAGGCCCCTGGAGCATCCAGCCACTCACCTTGGCTCTCTGTCCCAGAGGCCCTGCAGAGAAGTTGCCTCCCTCTATCCAGGGTTGGCCTCTTGGATATTTGAACTTGTGTTCCTCCTTGGCCTGGCTTCTTCTAAGACCCTCAGGCCTGCTTGTGTTGAGGTCTTGTTCCCCTCTTCTTCATGGTGAGGGAGACACTAAAGACAGTGACAGGCCCATCAGATCTCTCCTCCAGTTTTCTCTTCTTCCCGAGTTCCATTGGGCAGACCTGCCTCTGGACATTTCCCAGACCTCAGAGTTGTCATTCATTCATTCATTCATTCATTCATTCAATTCATTCACAAAACATATCTCAACACTAGCTTGAGCACAGTGACCATGTGTGTCAAGGGAACACAATGCTGCCTCAGCAAGCTCAAGGTCAGAGAAAGAAGCAGCTAAGCTAATAGTTAGCAATCAGGATGTTGAGGAGGGAGAGAAGCCCAGGACATTGGCAGCTGGCGGAGGCTAGCAGATGTGTACTTGGATGGATGGGAGGACAGAGAGAGACCAAAGCTTCGACTTTCGGGATGCTGTCTAGACAGGAAGGGGAAGAAAGGGCCCTCTGGGGAGAGACTAGCATGCAGCACTTGGTGTTCACAAGAAGACTGAGGCCTGAGGAGTGGTGGAGCAAGTAAGGGACAGTTCTGATTCCCCATGTCCAGCTTCCATCTCGCTGCCTCCCAATAGAGGAACAGCTTGCAATACATATACAAATCGTAGCCCTGGCTGACTTGAGCCAGGAGCAGGTGCACACTTGGGACCAAGGGCTGGGTGTGACCCCTGACTTATTCAGCTCTGTCCTTGCCCCCAGGGCTTTCTGGTTGGGTGGCTTGAGGCTCTACCCAGGGTCCTTCCTTCAGAGCCCATCTCGTGTTGTCCCTCTGCTTTGATTCTGCATTCTGGCTTTTCCTCCTCCATCTCTTCAATCTGGGCTCAGTCCCTGATCTTTTGTCTCTGACTGAGCTTTTCAACTCTCCTGGGGCTGTCTTCTTCACACCAACCCCTGGCTGACTCATATGCCCTCTGCCTGGTCCACAGCCCTTTTTAAACCAGTGGCTCTGTCATCCCCTCTCCTGCTTCTCACTATATCCTCTGAGTCACCTCTTGATGACTTACCAACAGTCTAGACACACAACTTTTGTCAAGACCAGGCTAAGAAGGGTAGGCCCGGTTCTTTGTGCAGCGGCAGCTATAAAATGTCCAGCTAGAGTGACATTCAGGAAGGAGCAGAAAGGGGACATGTGTAATGTAGGACAGATGTTTTCATTTTAATTCAGTAGTAGAAAAGCTGTGTAACATGTCCAATATGACGTCATGGGGATTCTGGAGGATGCTGACACGGGGGTAGAGTCCATTGCTGGGCTGGGAGTGCAGCTTGGTAAACATAATGAGATGTGGCAGCACAGACTGGTGGACAGGCGGACAGTCCAGACCTACCTGTTCCATGTCGTTTTGTTCCGGGGGGACCCAGAGCTATCGGTTATTGGGTTTTGTCCCAGAAATACACCTAAAGTTGGTTTCTACTTAACTCCAGAGCAGCCCTGTCCTATAGAACACTCTGGAATCATAGAAATGCTCTGGATTTGTAGTGATCAGTTAGGTATCCACTGACCATTGGTGGCAAGTGGTCCTGGGAGTGAGACTGGTACCACTGAGGAACTGAATATATTAGTTACTTTTGCATTGCTATGAGGGAGGAAAGTTTCATTACGGCTCCTGCTTTCAAAGTCTCTCAGCCCACCAGCAGAGGGAGGCGGGCAAGGCCAGAGGATCATGGGCAGGGAATATGCCAGAACAAGGGACTGGGCTATAAACTTCAAAGTCCTGCCCTTTATTACTTAACTTCCGCCAGCTCACCTAAAAGTTCCACATCTCACACTCCCAACCGTGCCACCCGTCAGGAAGCAAGCACTCAGAACAGGAGCCTGTGTAGGACTTTTAGGTTAAATCCATAATAATGAATTTTCATTTAATTTTAATTAAGTTGAATTGAAATAACCACATATGGTTAGCAGTATCAGCTGGAGCAGTGTTTGACATTGCAGACATTGTGAGTCACATATACAGCATTAGTTTTTTTCTAGTGACTGAATTTTTAAGACGTCAAAGGAGGGGCTGGAGAGATGGCTCAGCGGTTAAGAACACTGGTTGTTCTTGAAGAAGACTTGGGTTTGAATCCCAGCACCCACATGGCAGCTAACAACTGTAACTCCAGTTCCAGGGGATCTGATGGCTTCTTCTGTCCTCTGCGGGCATTGCATGACATGGGTGCACTTACCTACATGCAGGCAATACACTCATACACATAAAATAAAAATTAAAAAAATATATATATATATTGGTCTTTTTGAGACAGGGTCTCCCTGTAGCTCCAGCTGTCCTGGAACTTGCTATGTAGACCAGGCTGGCCTTGAACTCACAGAGATCCTCCTGCCTCTACCTCCAGAGTGCTGGGATTAAAGGTGTGCGCCACCATGCCCGGCAAAACAGTTGAATGTAGCATATCTCTAATATTTCAATAAACTAGAATTGCAGGTAACATTATATAAGAACTATCAGTGATGGGACTGGAGAGATGGCTCAGTAGTTAAGAGTACTGGCTGCTCTTGCAGAGGACCTGGGTTTGGGTCCCAGTAATCACATGGCAACTAACAACCATCTGTAACTCTAGTTCCAGGGGATCCAACACCCTCTTCCATCTTCCATGGGCATTGCATGACACAGGTGCACTTACATACATACAGGCAATACACTTATGCACAGAAATAAGTAAAATAAAAATAATAAAATATTTTAAAATAGAGCTGGGGGTGTAGCGCAGTGGTAGAGCACTTGCCTAGCATGTGTGAGACCCTGAATTCAATCCCTAGCACTGTGAAAAATAAATTAACTAGAGCTGGAAAGATGGCTCAGCAGTTAAGAGCACTTGCTGCTCTTCCAGAGAACCTTAATTTAGTTCCCAGGCCCCACATCTGGTGGTTCAGAACCGCCTGGAACTCTAGCTCCAAGGAACCCAGTGTCCTCTTCTAGCCTCCACAGACACTTGCACACACAGTCTCCTGTACATACAGACACACATGCACATATATAAACTAATTTATTTTTTGAGACAGTGTCTTCCTGTAGCCTCAACCAGCCTGGAACTTACTCTATAGACCAGGATGACCTTGAACTCAGAGAGATCCGCCTGCCTCTGCCTCCCAAGTGCTGGGATTAAAAGCGTGCACCACCACTCCTGGCAACTAAATATATTTTAAAAAATAAACTATTGCCGGGTGTGGTGGCGCACGCCTTTAGTCCCAGCACCGGGAGGCAGAGGCAGGCAGATTGGATCTTTGTGGATTTGAGGCCAGCCTGGTCTACATAGCGAGTTCCAGACCAGTTAGGGCAGGGTCTCTCTCTAGCCCCAACTGGCCTTGATCTCACAGACATCTGAAATCCTCTGCTTCTCCAGTGCTGGATTAAAGATATGTACCACCATGCCCTGCTACAACATTTTTTTTTTTGGCGGGGGGGGATCTTTTTTAGACAGGGTCTCCCTGTAGCCTCAGCTGTCCTGGAACTCACTAAGTAGACCAGGCTGGCCTTGACACAGAGATCTACCTGCCTCTTCCTCCTGAGTGCTGGATTAAAGGCATGTGCCACCACACCCAGCCTGTTTTTAGCTTTTTAAAAAAATATTTATTATTTTTATTTTATTGTGTGAGTATATTGCCTGCATGTATGTAAGTGTACCCCTGTCATGCCATGCCCAAGGAGATCAGAAGAGGGCATCAGATCCCCCAGAACTTGAGTTATAGATTGTTGAGAGCCACCATGTGGGTTCTGGGAACTGAATCCAGGTCCTCTGCAAGAACAGCCAGTGCTCTTTAACTGCTGAGCCATCTCTCCAGTCCATTTTTTACTTTTATGAGACAGGATCTCTATGCAGCCCCAGCTGGCCTGGAACTCACTATGTAGACCAGGTTGACTTCCATCTCACAAAGATCCACCTGCCTCTGCCTCCTGAGTACTGGAATTAAAAGCGTGTGCCACTAGGCCCAACAAAGGTGATTTTTAATTTATTTTATTTTATTATTATTATTATTTTTTGTCTTTTTGAAGCAGGGTCTCACTGTAGCCCCAGCTGTCCTGGAACTCACTATGTAGACCAGGCTGGCCTTGAACTCACAGAGATCTGCCTGCCTCTGCCTCCCAAGTGCTGGGACTACAGGCGTGCTCCACCATGCCCAGCAAAGGTGATTACTTTCATAGAGTCCTTTCCCTGGGGTTGGGCCATAGTGACACTCCTGGAACTGCTCCATCTTTTCAAGGGGAATTGGGTGCCTCCTGTTCTACCTGCAGGTGGGTTTGAAAGGCCCAGCACAGGCTACAGGTTGGGTCATCTCTCTGTCACTGCCTATCCCCACTTTGGGGACCCTATCCGTGTGGGTAGCCCACCACCTCTGAGGAGTGAGCCTACACCATGGTCATGTCTTCCATCAATGGGACAACTGCTCATTTTTGTCCCCCAAATAAGATTGCTTGTCCTCTGGGGTGAGGCATGTTTGTGAATCAGGGTCCCAGCTTTCTTGTACCAGAAACTCCCAGGGCTGCCTGCCAAGCTCAGTTTGGGTCACAGAAAGAGTTTTTGTAGTGGATCTAAATGTAGATACCATGTGGGTCCTTGGGGCCTGGAAGTGTTGTGTTAACTACTTGTCATAGTTCGAGGGGGTGCACATCATGGTGGAAAGACATAGTGATCAGGGGTGTGAGGTGGCTGGTCACATGGCATCCACAGTCAGGAAGCAGAGAGATGAATGCTGGTGCTCAGCTCACCTTCTCCCTTTATGCAGTCTGGGACTCCAGCCCATAGAACAGCCCTGCCTCCATTCAGGATGGGCTTTCCCACCTCAGTTAACCAAGCCTAGAAGATCCCTCATAGACTTGCCCAGAGATTTGTTTCCATGGTAATTCTAAATCCCATCCAGTTGATAATCAAGACGAGCCAGCACGGATGCCCATAGTAAGTTCTATGATTTGAGAGCTTGAGAGCTCAGTGAGGGCAGGGACTGTGGCTACCTTGTTCACCTCTCTACCCTGAGCCAGAACATGGTGCCTGGTATAGAAAAGTCAGTCAGTACCTATAGGGTGAATAAATGCATCCATGAATGAAGAATGACTTTAAAGGTGGTACCCAGTCTGTCCATCTTCCTTCTCAACCTCCTCATCCGTGCCTCGCCCCAGCTCCACCTGCTGTTAGTGTGTCTCCTCTGGGTCCCCTCAACCTTCCTCATCCTGGGACCTATTGAAATCTGAACCATTTTTTCATCAGCTACTTTTCTGCTCCATCTTTGCTGTACAGAAGGATTTGCCTGGTTCTTGTTACACTTTCCCGGGTCCCTTCTTTATACCCCTCCCCTCTCCTGATGCTGAACTTCTTTTAAAAATATTTTATTATTTTTATTTTATGTGTATGAATGTATTGCCTGCATGTATGTGAGTGCACCCGTGTCGTGTAATGCCACGGAGGTCAGAAGAGGGCTTCGGATTCCCCTGGAACTGGAGTCAAGGACGGTTCGTAGCTGCCATGTGGGTGCTGGGAATCGGACCCGGGTCCTCTGCAAGAGCAGTCAGTGCTCTTAACCGCTGAGCTATCTCTCCACTGATGCTGAATTTCTGTCTCTGTGTATCTCCCTGGCCTGGGTGAGAACTACTTGTGTCTGCCTCCCTACGTTCTGGGAAGACAGTGAGCACCTGCCTATGTGTGCACTTGGCTGTGCTAATGTGTGAGGTTATTTTATCTCAGCTTTAGGGGGTGCAGTTCTTACCCCTGTGACAAATGAGGAAACAGTCTTCAAAGATGGGTCCAGGACCGTGCAGTAGAGAGTGGAGATGGGCTGAGGGTGTGGCTCAGTGGCAGAGCCCTTGCTTGGCATGTATGAGACCTTGGGTTCCATCTCCAGCATTGTAAGGAAAATCAGTACAAGCACAGTGATATGATTTCTACACAGGTGGCTCCACAACATAGAGTCTTAAACATCTCCACATGGGAAGGATATTCTATCCCATCAGACCGCTAGCTGTTTGAAGATGGAGCTGTGCCTTATTTAGTGGAGACCCAGGGAGCAACCCTGAGTCTGGACTAGGGGACCATGATGCCCACCTGGGCCTGGTCAGCCAAACACCTGATTTTGCCCTCCTTTCATACAGGGTGTCACTGAGGGCTACAATGGTACCATTTTTGCTTATGGCCAGACGGGCAGCGGGAAGTCCTTCACCATGCAGGGCCTGCCGGAGCCACCCTGCCAGAGAGGCATCATTCCCAGAGCCTTTGAGCACATCTTTGAGAGTGTCCAGGTATGGGACTCATGGATGGAAGGGGCAAAGCTAGTGCCACAGATGGTCCCCAGGGGGTCCTGTGGCCAAGTCACGAACTATGGGATGCAGTCAGAACCCAGACTTGACTCAGTACCTGTCAGCAGAGGCCAGTGACAGGAGAAAAACGAGAAAATTCTACCCAACAGTTCCATGCTTTTCTCCTGCCATCTTTAGAGTTTAACATTCATTTGACAATTTATGTGGTCTCGGTGACTCCAAACGTGACATGAAGTGCTTGTAACAATCATGGCTTCCCTGTTTACTGAGCAACTACTACAGGTCAGGCCCTGTGTGAAGCCTATGAGTCATTACATGGACCCTGGACAGGCCACCTCTCATTGTGGTGGCCCCCAGAGGCATCAAAGGCCTGAGCTGCCAGCAATCAGCCTAGAGCCCAGGGGTCCAGGTGGCAGCTGCTGGAACTATGACTGTGGTTTCTCCACCTGAATAGTGGGGAGGCCTTCATTTCCCTTCCCATGAGGCTTGTAGGCAGCAAACTGCATAGACATCTGTGTAAGAATGATGCAGTTTTGCTGGGAGTAGTGGCACAAGCCTTTGGTCCCAGTACTCGGGAGGCAGAGTCAGGCAGATCTCTGTGAGATCAAGGCCAGTTTGGTCTACATTGCCAGTGCCAGGTCAGCTGGGGCTACAGGGAGACCCTGTCTCAAAAAGACCAAAAAAAAAAAAAAAAAAAAATGCAGCTTGGAAGCCTGAAGGTACTTGAGCTGGAGAGGAGGGTTTGCCAACAGGGCAGGGTGAGGGTGGGTGCTTGTGTAGCCCCAACACCCCCCTCCTCCCATCATGTCCCGGCTGTAGAGGCCTGGGCAGCAGGCGGGCTTGGCATCAGGCATCTCTATGTGCTCTGTCCACTTCCTGCAGTGTGCTGAGAACACTAAGTTCCTGGTCCGAGCTTCCTACCTGGAGATCTACAATGAAGATGTCCGTGACCTGCTGGGTGCTGACACCAAGCAGAAGTTGGAGGTAAGTACAAAACCCGTGGAGGGGTCCAACTGGGGCAAGCCAGTTTCAGATGATGCTTGCTTTTTAAGACAAGAGGCCCTTGGGAGACAGCGAAGGCAGATGGGCCTCTCAGCACAGTGAAGATTAGTGTTGATTGAGAGAACCTCATACACAGTCATAAAATGTCTGCAGTCTCCTCAAAGGCTAGATTCAGGGAGGAAGAACCTTGCTTCCTAGCAGTGGGGAGCAGAGCTCTGGACTTGAGTGTTCTCTCCAGATATACAGAACCAGGATGACTCTTTAGGGAGCCCAGAGAGATAGAGATATTGCTAGCCTGGACATGATGGCACAAGCCTTAAACTCAGCAGGAAGGAGACTGAGGCAAGAGGATCACAATTTCTAGGTCAGCCTAGGGCTACATAGTGAGTTCCAAGCCAGCCTGGTGTATATCATGAGTGCCAGCCTGGGCTATGTAGTGAGACCCTGTCTCAAAAAAGCCAAGAGAGGAGGGGGAAACAGAGGAAAAGGAAAGGGAAGGAGGGAGGGAGCAAGGAAGGGAGGGAGGGACAGAGGGAGGGAGGGAAGGTGGGAGGGAAACTGCTCAGGCCAGAGGCCAGTGCGTAGGCAGGCTGGACACATGGCTGGAACCCTTAGCCTTGATTAGAGGTACTGGTCTTGCTCTTACAAGCTGGATGGTCTGGTCCAGGGAGGAGAGGCCAGTGTGAGATGCTGACTCCAATCCATGTTGGGTTGTTTCTGGACTCCCCCTCCAGCTAAGTCCCTCATCCCAGGGTCCACCAAGAAGCCGGTAGTTCCAGTTTTAGGGGAGAAAGAGACAGTCATTCATTGATTCATTCAACAAAGACTTAACTGGGACAACCCCATGGGTGCCAGTGCGCCACGCCACATGTAGCACCAGACCTGTGTGGAATAAGCTTCCAGCCCCCCCTCCCTCTCCCC